GCCGATAGTGGAAGACAACTCACTGCGAATTAGCAGGATGAAGCTGAAGAAGTTATTGAATGTGCTATAAAAATGCAATTAAAAAATGTGCATACCTTATGCTCAGTATATTGCATAGCACAAATATGAGCGAAATGCCCTTTTTAACCTGACTACATTCACAAAGATGTTTACATTCTTCATGACATTTAGAAATATCATGCTGCACTTTTGGTTGGTCTATATAAAGGTGGATGACACTGACATTTTATAACCCCAGCTGACACTGGGAGAGAGGCAGGGTACACCCTGGACAGGTCACCAGTCTATCACAGACCATGATGGCCAGTAACAGTCTGGATGATCCTGGATAGTCGACTATGCTTCTGGACACTGTTGACATAGGGCTTCCTTTTGGCACAGTACAGTTTTAAGTGGCATATATGGATGTAACTACGTATTATAGTTTCTGACACAGGTGTGCCAAAGTAATCCTGATCCCATGTGGATATATCTCTTATAGAAGAGTGAGAATTCCTGATGCAGTGCCGTCTGAGGGAAAAGGAGAGCAACAATCATCCAGCTTAGACTTGACCCTTTATGCACTGAGATCCCTCCAGATTCCTTGAATCTTTTAATGATGTTCTGCACCGTAGAGGGTGACGTATCCAAATCCCTTCATATCTTTCTTTAAGGAACATTGTTTTTAAACATGTCAATGATTTGCTCATGCATATGTTGGCAAACTGGTGGTCCTCGGCCCATCTTTGCTCCTAAAGTGCTCGGCCTTTCCTGGATGCCACTTTTGTACCAAATCATGATCCGGCCACCTGTTGACATCACCTGTTTCAAATGAAATCATCATTTCATTGTTTTACCTCATTACTGGCCCTGAAATGTAACAGTCCCAACTTTTTTGGAATGTGTTGCAGCATCAGAATTGAAGTGTTTATTTTGAACAAAGAATAAAATTGATGAGGTATCACATCAAATAATGTGCTGCTGTATTGTTTTCAGTGAAGTACAGGACACAGATGATTTACAAATCAATATTTTCAGTATTTTTTTATTTTACATACCGTCCCATCTTTTTTGATTTGGAGTTGTAATCCCTGTGAAGTAGATATTGATGGTGCTACAGAATTCACTCATTGTCCTATTGAATGTTTCTATAAACTGCTGCCTTTTTTGAAGTTTGGCTTACACAGTTCTGTATTGAAGGCTTGATCTCCTCCCCCCTTTTGCTTGTCACAATTGTCATTCTCTCTTGTCTGTAATCAGCACTAAACATTCTTGAGTTCTCCACTCTCAACTAAGCCTGTTACTCCATGCAGCTTCTTTACTCAACACCATTACTATATCCTTTTGCTCTGTTTCACCTCTTGCACCTTTTCCCTTGTTTCTTTTCTCTCTGTGTCTCTCAGTTTTACACACACAGGCCCAAAAGTGAAACGGGTCTAAAGTTTCTCAGGGATGGATTAGAAGGACTATTTCATATTTATTGGTCTTATTCCTTGGTGCCACCTACAGTACACACCAGCACAGACTCACAGACATAAATGGCCTCTCTCGCTTAACCCTCAACCCCCCCACCACCTTCCTCGAACGTTACCATATTCTCACTCATTCCTCCCACTGCACCTGCTACCTTCTCTCTCTCTCTCTCTCACATACACACACACACACACACACACACACACACGTTGCTCACTGATGTTATTTGTATTCATCACCCCTATTCCCCAGTGCAAGGTGTAAGTTCATTGGTGCATTGCAAACTCCTGTATGTCCTCCTAAACTGCAGCCTCTATAGTCCCCCAGGATCTGCCCCTCACATTCATAACACTCTGTTCTGTGCCAGGCGGCTGTCTCCACATGTCCTCTTCCCCATAAATCAGACTGTCTTTGAGTTGATCAATAACAAGTCAATTAGCAGGCACGGAGAGATGAGGGTCTCAGAGGGTCACAGCTTGTTTGTCAGGCAGACATCTGCAGCTCAGTCCCTGTCTGCCAGGGAGCTACAGTAGGTCTGTCATTTACCTTGGAATCATGTGGCTACCTGGCTACCATAAATCTAAATATCAACTCTAAATAGTCTTGGGACATCTTGCTACAATCCATCATTTGCTTGTTCTTGGATATGTAATGTATCAAGCTCTGTGTACTTAAAATCTCCCAGCTGTGTCTGATGGATTTGCACAGTTAGGGAGCAGCACGTTTTTGCTTTAACTTTTCTGTGTATTTCCTCTTCAGCATTTCTTGTGAATATATATGCTTGTCACAAAGAAGCAAAAATTGCCTCTGTTGCTATCTATGGACACACTTGACCATGTGCACCAAAAATAAGCCGCAAAGCCTGCCAGCATTCATCCTGTTCCCATGTTAAGCTGACAAGAGTGGGAGCAGCCCAACTGTTGTTTGGTGCCCACTGACTGTGTATCTAATGACTTGGCTAGCAAATCCTACGCACCAGCAACAGGATCCTGTGGTGAATACACCAGATTAATCCCCTGGATAATTACAAACAAGAATGATCTTGGGCAAATACTCCCCACACCTACTGAGACATTACATCAAATGATGCTGTTTAATTAAAACTCAGGCTTAATGGTGACAGAGAGACAGCATTCAGAGAAATGAATGAAATGTGCTGCTTTGGTGCCGACATTTCACATAGAGAGACATAAAAAGTACAGAGGTAGACAAAATGACAGTGATCTAATATATACAGCACTATGTAATTTTCTTGAAATAAAACAAGAACAATTTAACAAATCCAATTTAGGCAGTGTAAACGTGGCCGCTTTGTGCCTCTGTACGTTGCTTTAAAAACTCATTTATCCTGACACTTGAACTACTAATGCACACTGCTAATTGGTGTTCAACCTAATATGAGTCCCTTGTGTCACTGCTTTTGTCATTTTGATTCATAGCAGTCAACACATGAATTGCTGGTGCATCAGTCACACACGGCAAGAAGATGTGAAGCTGAAAGAGTTCTCAGTAATAGAGTAATTAGAATGACAATAATAACAGTCATTATTATTATTACTACAATTGCTTTTATTTCCTATCTTTGTTCATTTAGTCCTGCTCTTTAAATTTATTGTCACATATTTTGGCGTCTTTATTTTTGTCCTTTACACATACTAGTCTGTTGACACCAGTTTGCTAATGTCGCCTTTTATGCTTAACAAATCATATTATGGTTTACTTCATGAAAATTACAATAACAGGCAGTTTTCTTAACACCCTCACTAGTGACCTTTGAGTTGGACACCTGAACACATACAAACATATAAATAAAGACCATCAGCATGTTTAAGAAGTCGCTATTGCACTGACTTGTAAAGGTTTGTTTTTAATCAGCTACGGCTTTTATCAAATGAAACTGACAGTTTCTAGAAATTTGGTCTTGGGGCAAATTCTTTTTAGTGTCACTATTCTAACAGTATTTTAATATTTGGCTGATTTTTGTGTCTGCTGTGTCTCCTCAGTAAGTTTAACATTGGCTCTCCTTCTGTGAGAGCGAGGCCACCTGGATGAGGTGAGCCTGCAGATGGATATGAGATGAGAAAGGGGAGATCCAGGTGACACAAAAAGTGTCTCCAGCTGATGATCACTGTGGTGTGGTAGAAAGTTGTTTGTTTGGAGTATGCCGTTGAATTCTGTACATGCACATGTAACTGTGTTTTGGGGTTGACCTGTTTTTTTTTTTTCAACTCAGCTGCCTGCATCAGGTGGCAGGAATTGACTGTTGGGATCCCCACAAAGGAAGGGTATAAATACAAGACACAAGGAGACAGACAGGAGCAATCCCACTGTATGGAGACAAGGCTCCCAGTAACAGATGCTCAGGCTGTGACAGATTTGAACGTATATTGCATATGTAGAGTGTTGATGCCTGGCTCCAGGGCTTCCCTTGTGCTCCCATGCGAAGAGGACCCTCAGGGGAGCTGACGCCAGCTGAGACTGAAAAACAAGGTAAGAGCCCAGCTGACACTCATGCACATAGGCTCAGCTGTTTGTCTCAAAGGAGAGTTCTGCATATGAAGTACACAGAGTGTTAGGAAATGAAGGAGGCTACCAGACTCAAGTCTGCCAGGGAGAAAACAACACTGAAAGATGGCTAGATGGAAGATTCTACTGTGTGTGCACTATCTGTGTGCAATGGTAAGCCTCAGCAGTGGATGTAATAGTTTCTAAGAGTGTTTGATTGCTTAATTGTCTGAACTGGTAATGAAACCTAGATAGTATGAGAGTAAATAAAATAGGTCTGTCACTGAAGCAGTATCATTGATCTTACATGTGCCTAATTATAAGATTACTTGGCTGTTGAAATATGACTCCTAAATTGAACAGTGTTGTGTTTGGAGTAGTTCTTTAGGATCTTTATTTAATATGTTGGTTTCTTATTTTCTTTTCCTTCCTCTTTGGTCAATATCTACAATATGTGTTATGAAATATGCTTCCTGTGTCTCTGATTTCTTCCCTGCATTTAAAATGCAGGGAGGCTCCCAGGGCTCTGATTCTCTCTCCACCCAAGAAAATGACTCATATAAATGATTGACAGCTGAGCGAGGATAAGGCTGCCCATTTAGCAAACTTGTGTGTGAAAAGAAAAACGTCATAATGGCTCCCTGAGCGCTGAGACTGGAGATGAGAGAGATGAAGATTTTGGTATCGATCCCGAAATGCTTGTCTCATGCATTTTACACAAGATTGAAATGCCACTTATGGTATAATACAGTACTCTGGGTCAGGCCTCACTACTCTCTCTTCAGTGGGATTTCAGGGTACTTGGTGTATAAATTCAACATGAATCAAGTAAAGCTGTTAGACTGTGTCATGGGCTCAATACTGAGAAGACACTGGGGAGAATTGAGGATTTGAACCTTCAAATATTTTCTCTGGCCTCTCGTGGATAGCTAAAATTTTGTAATACATCAAACTAAACCCTCTTCTCCTCTCCTCTTCTTTCCTCCCCTCTCATCTCTAGGGTCTAAGGTTTAAGTCACACCATGGCGGAGGAGAGCCTGGAGACAGATGGCCCCAGATCCTCCATGCCGGCTGAGCTCCAGCATCCCCACTCTAAGTACTCTCAGTGGAAGTTTAAACTGTTTAGGGTGAGGTCCATGGAGAAGGCTCCGCTGCCCAGCGAGTCGCAGCCTGAGAAAGGGCCCTTATTAGGAATCTCACCTCCTGCACCTCCAAATACAGAGTTAAATAATGGTGTTGGTCCAGGGAGTGTGATGAAACTGTGCCTAGGGGGGAAAAGTAAGGAAAATGTGGAGGGACCAGGCTGGAGGGTAGATATGAAACTGCAGGAAATGGACAACCACATGAACCAGCTCAGGTAATCACATGTCACTATAACTTTATAAACTACTCTAGATAATGTTCATTTCATTCTAAGAATTTGACAACATGTTTTTTCCTCTGCGAAGGTGTCTCTGCCGTCTCTGTGGGACAGCTCTGAAAAAAGTCAAAGGACCAGTGCATGATGTCCACGGTGATCTTGATGGAGCAAGCAAAGGCGCCCTGCGAAAAATGGGCTGCAAGTTCACAAGTTGGCCAGAAGTCATCCTCAAAGTCTTCAAAGTGGAAGTGACAGAGGACATAGAATCTGTCCATCCTCTTTCCTTCTGCCATCGCTGCTGGATGGCTGCCATACGAGGAGGAGGTGTGTGTAGCTTCTCCAGAATCAGAGTCCCTGATTGGAAACCCCACTCCTCCCTCTGTCACCTTTGCTCCCCCAAGAAATCTTCATTCCAGAGGACTGGGAGGAAGAGAAGGAAGATCATTCCCAGAGCCCAGAGTCTGGCAAAAAGAGCTAGAGGGGACCACTGCGACAGCATTGCTGTTGGTGAGAGGAGAGCTCTGAGACCATTCGGAGCCCATCACCATGGTCCTGTGCTCAGGGGCTGGAAGAAAGCCAGCATCCAGAGAGAGCAATGGGTGAGAAACATCACCCACTGTCAGAAAGACCACCTGAGTACCAAGCTGATCTCTGAAAAGCTCCCTGTGGACTTCCTCTCTTCTTTCACCTGCCTGGTGTGTGACCACCTCCTCTTTGAGCCAGTTCAGTCACCCTGTGGGCACCTCTTCTGCCACAGCTGTTTTATAAAATATTACCATGTTCTGGGACCTCACTGCCCGGCCTGCAACTCGTCCTGCACTCCTAATGATCTCACTCTGCCTGCCAAGGCCTTTTTATCAGCCCTGCATTCACTACCTCTGCTCTGTCCCAGAGGTGGCTGTGATGAGCAGGTAAAGCTAGACTCATTTAAAGCTCACTATCTAGGCCATGAGCTGGATGAAGAGGATGCAAACAAGCAGTCATCAGAACCTGACAGCTACCTGCTAGCCAATAAAGGGGGACGACCCCGTCAGCACTTGTTATCTCTAACCCGTCGTGCCCAAAAGCATCGGCTGAGGGATCTGAAGAACCAGGTAAAGGTGTTCGCAGACAAAGAGGAAGGTGGCGACCTGAAGTCTGTGTGTCTGACGCTGTTCCTGCTAGCGCTGAGATCTGGGAATGAACACCGGCAGGCAGATGAGTTAGAGGCCATGATGCAAGGTAATTATGAGGTTTTTGTTTAATCAACAAAGCCATCCATAACCTGGGAAAAGGGACACAAACAGATAAAAAAAAATGTGATAGTGTTTGTTCATTATTATTTCTGCATACCTCTGAGGAATACAGTCATATCATAAAGAAGAGTTGAAAAGTTCACTATTGAGGAAAGAAGAAAAAATACTCTTTGATTTTGATTGAAAAGCATTTCATTACTGTCCATTTCCGTCACCGCTGTTGCACGCTCAAACCCTTCCTGACTCTCTCCCCTCTCACTCCCTGTCTGCTTGTCTGTCAGTCTCTCACAGTCCCTTTAATGCACAATAATAACTCTTGTGAAGGGGCTGTTAGAATCAAAACAACATCAGAAGCTCTTGTATCTACAAATTACACAGACAGCACCATCCTCCCCTCTGGGGAATTGAAGCCAGCTGGTGTCTGTTTTCATCTGCAGCCAATACATCACTTTTGCCAGCTTCACTGATTCAACCCTCTGTCCCCTTATAACATGGGGAAATTAGGAAATACTGGATTTTGTAATTGTGGGCTTTTGACAATGACACATTCAAATTTGGGTGTTAAAATCCAGATTCTCTCTGTCTTGTAGTAGAAATGACTCAAAATGCAGGATATCAAATGGAAAAATGTTAGATCCCAGTTCTTTTCAAAGCACAAGAAATGGGCGTCCACAGTTTGGTATTAAATAGTTCTTTTCATGACTCAATCCTTTCCTCTTACTTCCTTTTATATTTCTGTTTTCATTTTGCCTCCTTTTGAAACTTTGCCTCTTTTTATTTTCTGTCTCTCTGCAGGAAGAGGCTTTGGGCTGCACCCTGCAGTGTGCTTGGCCATTCGGGTCAACACTTTCCTGAGCTGCAGCCAGTATCACAAGATGTATCGGACTGTCAAAGCCACCAGTGGCCGCCAGATCTTTCAACCCCTGCACAGCCTCCGAGCTGCAGAGAAGGAGCTTCTCCCTGGCTTCCACCAGTTTGAATGGCAGCCAGCTCTCAAGAATGTGTCTCCATCCTGCAATGTCAGCATTATTAATGGGCTCTCTGGATGGGCTTCCTCAGTGGATGACTCTGCAGCTGATACCATCGGTCGGCGTTTTCGCTATGATGTGGCACTGGTGTCAGCATTAAAGGATCTGGAGGAGGACATCATGGAGGGGCTGAGAGAGAGTGGGATGGAAGACAGTGCTTGCACCTCAGGCTTTAGTGTTATGATCAAGGAATGTTGTGATGGCATGGGTGACGTCAGCGAGAAGCACGGCGGGGGACCGATGGTTCCTGAGAAAGCTGTACGTTTCTCTTTCACTGTTATGTCTGTCTCTGTCCTGGCGGATGATAGGGAGGAGGAGGTTATCATTTTCACTGAGCCAAAGCCAAACTCAGAACTATCCTGTAAGCCCCTATGCCTGATGTTTGCAGATGAGTCAGACCATGAGACACTCACATCTGTCCTGGGGCCTATAGTTGCAGAGCGTAATGCAATGAAAGAGAGCCGACTCATTCTATCTATTGGCGGATTGCCTCGCTCCTTCCGCTTCCACTTCAGAGGCACAGGATATGATGAGAAGATGGTGCGAGAGATGGAGGGCCTGGAGGCCTCTGGGTCCACATACGTCTGCACTCTTTGTGACTCAAGTCGAACAGAGGCCTCTCAAAACATGGTTCTACACTGCATCACCCGCAGTCATGAAGAGAACCTAGAACGTTATGAAATATGGAGAACCAACCCCTTCTCTGAATCTGTGGATGAGCTGCGAGACAGAGTCAAAGGGGTCTCGGCAAAGCCCTTCATGGAGACCCAGCCCACGCTAGACGCATTGCACTGTGACATTGGCAATGCCACTGAGTTCTATAAAATCTTCCAAGATGAGATTGGCGAGGTGTATCAAAAGGTCAATCCCAGCAGGGAGGAACGGCGCAGCTGGAGGGCAGCCCTAGATAAACAGCTGAGGAAGAAGATGAAGCTCAAGCCGGTAATGAGGATGAATGGGAACTATGCCCGCAGGCTAATGACCCTAGAGGCTGTGGAGGTGGTGTGTGAGCTGGTGCCCTCAGAGGAGAGAAGGGAGGCCCTAAGGGAGCTTATGCGGCTTTACCTCCAAATGAAGCCTGTGTGGCGTGCCACCTGCCCGGCCAAGGAGTGCCCCGACCAGCTGTGTCGCTACAGCTTTAACTCCCAGCGCTTTGCCGACATCCTCTCCTCTACTTTCAAATATAGATACAATGGAAAAATAACCAATTACCTGCACAAGACTCTGGCCCATGTGCCTGAAATAATAGAGAGAGATGGATCCATAGGAGCCTGGGCCAGTGAGGGTAATGAGTCTGCAAACAAACTGTTCAGGCGTTTCCGGAAGATGAACGCACGTCAGTCAAAGGCCTTTGAACTAGAGGACGTGCTGAAACATCACTGGCTCTACACCTCTAAATACTTGCAGAAGTTTATGGAAGCTCACAAAGACTCTGCCAAAGCTCTGCAAGCTACCATTGACCCAGTGGAGATACAGGATGAAGAGGATATGTCTCTGGAGTTGAATGATTTTTGATTTTTGTCTTACTTGAAGTGATAACCTTTGATTGATTTTGCGATTGCTGTATAATCTGTTGACTGCCTCTATCAGTAATAAGGATTTGTATATGAATTCTTTATTTACTTTCTATTTTCACTGATTGATATTTAGAATAACAGGGAAATGGTGAAATTAACATTTTTCATATTTCTTGTGATTACATTGTCTTTGTATAATTAAAAACACCAGTTATTGTTGAATTTTCCAAAAGGATTTTCTCCATGAAATAACAAATGTACTGTTTTACATTCAAATGGACAAATTTTCACAACTTTATGGGGAAAAAAAACATGTTTACACAATGTTTTAATGTGTTTTTACTTGTTTTGAATATTTACTTGGATTAGAGCTATCTGGTTCTAAACATGCATTTAGCCTCCTTGCTTTGCCAGTTACTACAGTACAGTGCAAAAATGGGACAGCAGCAGAATATAGACATAACATAGAGGTTACTTTTCAGTTGCTCTTAGCAGGAAAGTTCCTTTTTTAATCTTTGCTGTATGTGAAATATGGTGCAGTTTATTGTACTGCAAGGATGTGACACATTTATAAATTTATATAGCGAGGATATTTATGGAAACAGATGAAAGTGCTGTAACTCTTGGAGTAAAACTGTGTTAAAAAGAGCACATTTGTGGCCAGTGCATTAATATATCATTTGAGCTGGAGCAAAACACAATCACAGAGACCCAAATGTTTTTTGTTTCATGAGTGCCCTCTGAAAAAGATTTCTTTAGTGCTTTATCGTGAGATCCCTGAGGGGCAGAATAGATGCCAGGTCACTTTGAACCAATTGTTATCTCTTTCAGGTTTTGCACAGTGGAGCATGGATGATACTTATTTAAATCCTCCACATATAATAACGCATATACTGACCTTTTTGTTGATATATAAATACAGTATGGTCCATTAGTGAGCTTAATGCCCCATGGACTCTCTAGCAGGAAGGGATTCTTCTTAAATTCTGTTTGTGACCTGGCTCCTTTTCTCTGCTGATATTTCTTCTTGCCACGGTTGACAGAGTAGAGGGATGGGCTAGAGCTAGACAGACCTGATGTAAACTGATTTGGTGGCAACTTTATTTGTTTGATTGATTGATTATATTGTCTTTTTCTGCTCTTACCATTTTGAATTGTGACAGGCAATTTTGTTTTCTTCTTTGGTTGAATGTTTGATTTGATTTTGCTGTCATAGGTTTAACCCTGAGAAAGATGCACATTTCATTGGACAGTTGTCACAGTTGTACAACTGCATTGTGCTTTGAGTGCGTTATAGTGCAATGTGTCTTATATGTGTTCTTTGCTGTAATGAATTGCATTTCCACAGTAATGGATGGTGGGTGGTTCATAAAATTCCACTTGTTCACTTTCATATCTATTTCCTCATTTTGTTTTTCCATTCTACACTAAATATTGGGTAAACTGTTTACTGGAGTTGCAGAAGACTTTCAGTGGTGATTTAATTTGAATACCGAAGTTCCACTACTTTTCACATGCTGGTGTTATTGTTTGTCGTCTGTACAGCATTCACACATTTCTGCTGTATGTTCACTGAAACAGGCAATTTACCATTCTTTCAAAGAATTCAGAAGGCACTTTGTAATTTGCTGTCTCTTTTCCCATTAAAGAATGAATAAAGAAAAAAACTGACTTGGTCTTCTGATTTGGTTTTATTGAACACTTTTTAATTGATTTGGTATTTTATAATCGTATTAGTACAGAACGCATGTAAAGTTGGTCCTGGAAGGCAGCATTAACTTCTAGAAAGTGAAAACACAGGACTTTCCTTTAGGAAACCAGCATTTGATTCCTGTCTGAAACATTGTTTTTTAATTCATAACCATTCCACAACCTTAACTGAGTGTTTATTATTGTATCCAATGAAAACAAAGTTTGTCTATGCTTGTTGAAGGACTGGTTGTATAATGGTTTCTATGATGACAAAATTCTGGTAAGTGTGCCAGTGGAGGCGTCCTATAAGACAGATGACATACATTGTTTAGGCTGGAGAACTTGTTGGGAAACAGACGTGCTAAAACAATTAGGTTTTCTAACATATATAAAGAACATAAAAGAACTTCAATTTTTATTTTCAATTTGCATTTCAATTATTTATTTTCAATTTAATATGTTAAATATTTATCAACTGGGAATTTTTAGCTGCATTTGACACTTGAATGCAATGATAGAAAGTGCTGATTTTACCACTTATGTTCACTGTGGTTCTTGACTGAATCCAAATTAACTATTGATAAAAAAAAGCTAACTAGAAATAGAAACACTCACAACCTTTTTCGTCACATTAAAACTTTTGAATTAAACTGGTTAAAAAACAGAATTTGAGGCTGTTTGTTATTTATTTTCGTCACACAACTCACTGAGTGCACATTCCGTATTGCGTATTTTTCATTTATTAATCATCGGGTTAATTGTATAAAGAAGTGTAAAAAGAAATCGGCTTCACTGGGCCTTGGTACAAAGTGTTAATATAAAACTAGTGGAACAGAAAATGAACTTTTATACAATTGATAAAACACAAACTAGATACACTAAAGACAAACTTGGTAAAATATTGTTATTTCTTCAAATGATGTGGAAAATTATAATGAAAATACTGCATAGAGTTGTTAGACATAAAATTTTTTATTGTTTATTTTTTTCACACTTTTGTCTCACATTGAGAACAGAATAGCATACTAGGTATTTTTCATCAATCATTTATTCACTGAGTATAAGCATGAACTCTCCCTAAGAATCCTTAACAGTGGCCCTCTACATGCATCGTAATTAAAACTGTATTCAGACAAAAAGCCTCCTGAAGAAACTTTTCTTTGCAGGGGACATCTTGATTGTTGGAGGAGTTTTCCTGTCCTTAACTTTCATGGGGATGCGCTTCAGGGGCATGACTTGTCGAGGTGGGGTAATCTCCTGGTAGGGGAGGCCTCCATGGTCCAGGCAGAAGTATTTTTTGCTGCCCTGAGAAAGTCTGAGCAGCAGGGTCTCAGAGAGCTCCATGCACTGGGCGTGGACCCAGTGTCCACCCTCCCCTCTCGAGCAGAAGATCATGGCTGGCCGGTGGAGCTCCGTAGAGTAGTACGGCTCCCATGTGTTGGGGTCCACCTGACAACTCAGGCAGCATTTGATCCAGTACCCTGTTTGTGATTCATCCTCCTCATCTTCTTCATTGTAAGTATCCCCTTCTCCATCACCGCTGTCTTCCAGTTCATGAGGCTCACGACCGAAGTAAAGCTCCTCAGAGTCCTCAAGAGGAGTAGAGTCTTCATACTCTGTCGACCCCTGGCTACAGCCTAGGGTTGCTTCTTCCTCATTGCCTTTACTCTCTGTCTGGAAGCTCACCTGATAGAAGTAATGCATATCTGGTTGGGATGGTCTTCCCTCAGATGGTATTGCAAGTAGGACACTTCCCTCTCCAGCGCTGCCCCCAAACCAAGTGCGACTGTGAATTATATCTGGGGTCCACCTAGGTGGTTCTAAGGCCTCAAATTGGATCCCTTTCTCATCCAGAACCACAGTGGTGCATGCCATTCTTTTCTGGGAGTCTGACTGATACCCACCTAAGATGATGTATTTGTGAGCGGGACCCGTGCGGGTGATGATGGCACTAGAAATGGATATGCCAGTGTCCAGCGTGTCACAGGAAAGCAAGGGACTACCCTGCAGAAGCTCAACTTGCAGGCGAAAGAGTCGAGGGGGACGGCAGTCAGAAGCGAGTGAGTGACCTCCAATCAAGTAAACACAGTCTTCTCTGGCAAGGGCCAAATGGAAAGACTGTCCATCGCTGAGCTCAGGTAGAGTGTGAGCTGAGGAGCACCCAAACTCCAAGTTAAATAAAAACACCTGAGGAGGACAGTCCACAACACTGTTCCAGCTCTCTGTGGTCCGCTCTCCTGCCGGCATGTAAGATCTACCCCCAAATAAAACACAAGCTGTCTTTCCACGGCTTTGAACCATGCTCATTGTGTGACCATATCGGGCCCCTGGTACTTCTCCGACGAGTTCTTTCTCTTTGCAGCACAGGGTCAGTTTACGATTGCAGCCACGACTATCCATGGTCAGCAGGTACAAGCTAGATGAGATCTCATTATTTGGGGTGCGGCCACCGTGGATGAGATAACTCTCTGGAAGCCCATCATAGGGGTCAAGGCGACAAACAGCAGGACAACGTAGTGGAGGGAGGTAGCAGGAGTCATTGGAGAAGGAGATGGCCCTCAGCTTCATTTCGCCAGGTTTAATCCGGACCCCAAAAACTCCTGTCGGGCATGAGCGCTTGGGCCAGCCTTTCTGGCCAAACAGGAGAACTTCACCATCCAGCTGCAGCAGAGAGCAGCCAGGCTGCAGGAGGCCTGCACAGTTCACTGGAGTTAATGGTTGTAGGGTCATTTTCTGGCAGGTGCCTGTATCAAAACAGGGCAATAACACAAAAACACAGTGTGTCAGTCAGCTGTTGTTTTCATTCAGGGGTTTAAATTTTTTACTTCCTGTTTATTGCAGCAACATGTGGCAGACCATAATTCACATGAATATGATATAGACTACATAGACAGAATGTATAAATAGGAGTTTACATCATTACAGCTGTCTGCAAGTCAATATTTTTACATTAATGAATAAAGGTGTACATAATAGCTACCAAAACGAATGACATGGAGTTAATAACAGTGACAAACCTTAATAACTTACAACTACTACTGCTGCTGCTTATTATAATTTTAATAATGATAAAGAGTTCATAATGAAAATTGTGGAATGTAAACATGGCTTTTTTTAAGATTCATTTAGCTAAGATGTGAAATATTTGAATGGATATCACACAAAAACTAAAAAAGCATGGTTTGTAAATGAAATAACATCACAGACACCCTTATTGACACAAAATTACCCCCTCTTGGTCTGCTTTATTATTTTCAACAACACACAAAACCTTGTGTTTAGATATTCTACCTTTGGATCAGAAACTTAAATTACAGCATGAGGCAGGAACAAGCGAACACTTCCAGGAGCTGGGGGGGTCTTTCTGGGAATGTTTACACACCATGGCTGTTCACAGCGTGATTATCCTCCAGTATATTTACATTTTCTAGTACCATTATAATATACAGTGTGCATTAGGAATTGTGAATACAGATCTTTGTTTGAAGAAAAACAAATGTATTGAAATAATTGTTTTATTTAATGAATGACATTATGTCTGTTTTAAAATGATCCTTAAGTTTTAGAGACAGACTGGAGCATCTGTTGTGACTCACAATATAATGTCAAGAATTCAATGTCCTTTTATTAGCTTCAACAGCAATAACTGTGACGGCTGTGGCCAGTATGAGTCACTTCAGTAAGCAGTGCTAGTCAGTTACAAGTTTACAGCTGATATGACAGTAATTTAAAATCATAATTATTAATTTGCTTACCTTATGGCCAGGGACAGGATGCAGTGCTTGAGCTCACTTTAGTGTGGCTCTTTCAATCACTAAGATGAAGTTAAAGAGCTCTTTATGTAGCTGAACTTTGACAAAGGGGGGATGCTGACAGAGTTTGTGAGGCTTCGTTGACTCACAAACACTTCCAGATTTTGAGGTTAACAGTCTGTGACTGCCGCTGTCTGGCAGGTGTGCTGCCTGAATGCATTTAGTGAGTCGCTTCAGTTATACTGTATCACTGGGTATCAGACACTGTTCACTGTCCTAACCTGTATAAAAATTTGAGAAATGTAAATGTGTGTATATACAATATGTGTTTTTCTTTCTCTAGTGGTTATGAAATACTTTTTAAATCCAAAGTGAAAAGGGACACCCTGCTTCACCCAGCTTTACCACATTGCTTTCTTCTAGAAGAGCATTTTTTACATTAAACATACAAATAGTTATACACATCCACAAGTGGCCTCAGTTAAGCAATACAATAATTAAACCCGATGCTCAAAGTCCAGATAACAAGCCCTATATTGCGGAGGAAATACATGATGTCAAAATGTTTTGAATGAGTCCACTCTCCACCAGCAGGAAACAAACATGGAACAATGTGTTTCTTTTATTGCCATAAGGAAACACCCCTCTTCTGTGAGATTGCTGTCTGGGTGTTGACGGTACAAATACAAATAAATCAATGTGTCTGTGCTCTCGGTGCACCTACATCAGTTGGACCAACTTCATAGTTACAGTTATTTCTGGTAAAAAACAATAACCATCATCCATCCTATCTTAATTATTATATTAAGTGAAGCAGATGCAAACAGCCATATAATTGCATTCAGTCAGTCTTGGTTTAATAATATGCTTTCAACATTAATTAGGGAAATCCCATCATTAACAAACTGTAGTTGCTGAATTCTTTTCTTTCTCACACCAAACCATCTTGTAATAGCCAAAACTGAGATAATTAATGCAGATGTTTTTCCGAGTTTATTCACCAAGTCTAGGCAGCCTTTTTCAGCCCATATTTCTTAAGCTGATAACAGCTACATACAGTTTTTACAGTTCCACAGCCTAAATTTACATTCTTAGCTTTGTTACTGTGTGCTTTAATTCAGAGCTTTGTTTTTGTATCTGATGTGTCTTCCTTCCATTTTTCTTGGTCTTTGCTGTCCAATTAAGCCTGTTCCTTTTCAGTCTCCCCAGTGGTTTTACTTATTCCTGGCATCAAAAATAATCTGATCCTTTAAACACTCTTGGGCTGCTTTTATAGCTTGCTGAAAAACAGCTCTGTACACATTTTACCAAATGTGTATAGAGCTATTATTTGCAGCCTGTCTTGAATATAACACATATATCCAAAGCCTCAGTGGACACATAACAGTAATAACTTCTAAACTTAAGCTTAAGAGTCAGAACTGTACAATTCATTTAGCCCTTTTTTATTGTCCTTCAGCACTGAATGATATGCTGGGATTGAAGCATTAATTGCCATAGTACACTGAACTTAATACATAATATGATTCTGTTTCATAAGGGGAAGGTAAAACAAACAAACCAGTGGTGGATATGTTTTAGCAGCTGGTACAGTCTGGCATTCC